ACTTTCTTCCCTTCGTGTGCAAGGAAAGCAAGGAAATGGAAAGCTGCTTCTTCCGCCATTTTGATGGCTTCGAGATGGGGTAAACTCCCAAATACCCTCCAATCGTCCGGTTTGATTGCATTTCTACGATCCCCACAGCCCGTGTCGGAGTGGCTGAGATGGAAGGTCCGGAGAGACGTGAGGTCGAGGTTAGGGGATAGATGTAACGGGTTCAGGGATCCCAAGATGTGCGCTGCGAGTGTTGTCTTCACTTGTGCGGCATCTTGAGAGGACGGGAACTCCTCGACGGTGTCTATACCAAAGAGTATAGATTCTCTCTTGATGCTCATCCACGTCAGAGTGGGAAGGTTCGTCCTGGCGGCACGGTATGATGCCAGGATACGAGACGAGTCAACCGTCTCGTGCAGGTCAGGATCAATTGTAAAGGTGGCAGTGGCGTTTCCTGGGATGAGGAAATGGTCGAGCACTTCATGGATAGGGGCGGCTGCACGTTCTCTGACCTTGAGGACCTCTAAGGCTGGAAGTTCGACATAAAACATGAACGGGGAGGGTTCGCTAGTCACTTCAAATATCCTATCTAAAGTAAGAAACTTGAGGGCTGGTGTGTCGGATAAAACTTGAAGAAAATTGACGACAAGCTGCAGGTCGGGGAGACTTGTGAGGGAGAATGTCGTGAGGTGCTTGGAGAAGATGTCAATGTTCCAGTCCCAAATTACGCAGTTCGTCAATGAGAGCTCCCGAAGCGGTACAGGCGTCAAGGACAAACCAGCTGGAACTTCCGCATCTGTTAGAGAAAGGCATTCTAAGTTGGGAGAGGATGACCACCAGTGGTCGTCAAGGTCGAGGCGGCTTCGACTGAGGAACCTTCGCTGACGGGGGATGTGGTTGAAAGACCGGAAACGTTTGCTGTGGTTGAAAAGGCTTGTCTCGATGTGGTCGAGAGAAAGCCACAGGGATAAGGGGGTGTTTTTCGAACGAGTTAAGAATTTTTTGATCCCTTTACTGTGGTCGAAGTCGATGTCCGACCACAAGTGAGGCAAATCCAAGGAAGTATATCTCCACCTTCGACAGACCCAGCTAATGGTCATGACTGTCTTTGATCTCGACTTGACAGCACTGAAGTCGCGTGCGTATCCGAAGATTATAGCCATCAACTCTGCTGGAAAATGGAAGATGGGAGAAAGGGTGTTGCGCTCTGAGCAGAGGTCGGCGATTTTGAGTCGAAGTTTGTGAATCCGGGAGTCGATTTTGAGGCGTTCTTCTTCAACATTTTGAATGGGCATTCCGGGAGAATGGTACACCAAGGTGGTGGCCAGGCGTCAGAGTCAAATTTGCCTGGGCAAACGCCGAGTGACATCAACGATTGCGCGATTACGCGTCGGGCCTCGAGGCTCGGTTAGATGACGGATAAAGTTCGGGAAATCTTGTGATGTCCTCCGGCCCTAACCGGCACGTTGGCTTTCTCTCCGTCCACCATGATGGAAAACCTGCAGAGTACGCGGAAAGCAAAACCCTCCAGCAGACTTTGTGATGAAGAGGTCCCTCCAGATGACTCAAGTGAGGGAGATCTCTATTGTATTTTCCCGCCGGAAATAGAATGCAAGATCTTTAAATTTATGGCAGCATTCGATGGTGATCAGGAGATGACGAGTATGAGAACACTTTTACTCGTGTCAAAGAGGGTCTATGAATGGTGGGTACATCCTCTGCATCCTATCGTATGGATTGTGTTTCTTTCTCTTAGGTTACTTGCAAATGATAGGTGTATGCGGTGCTGGCTCGACATACTGTGGGTGTGTGCTCGTCACGAACGCGGCTACGCGCATCTCTGGTTAATTTCCTGTTCTAAGGTCAATATATGCGCCCTTTTCATTACATAGGAACTCTCTAGGAAGGGTACCTTCAGACGGCCTTTTGACCATTTGACGATGATTACGAGGTTAGTCAGCGTCCAGATTTTTATCGTACACCGTCTGAAAGATAGTCCAGGTGATAGGCCATATCCGAGGCGATTACAATGAACATTTATCGGTCCCGCTGGGTCGGCGACCCGCCCATGTTTGCAAGTATAGTCCCGTGGAGCAGATATAAAATCAATTGACCTCAATCAATTTCGATCGAGGGTAATCTTCAAACTCTGGAGAGGTTCTCAAAAATGTAAATCGGTGAAACTTGACGAACATGCGATGGGTTCCATCTAATCGCTCCCTAGATTGCGCAATGATAGTCTTACCACGTCGTGGTGTGTTCATCTTATGGCAACCATTTACAATTCTGCGTGGCGTACTGTAGACCAGACTAAGGTCATGAGGTCATTCGCCACGATGCGTCAATTTGCGTTTCCAGAGCGTTCGAAGTTGCGCGTCATCCTTGTGGCGAGTCTTGGAGTCGTTCCGGAGTCTCGGGTCCCGAGCCCCGACAGCACGTCATAGGTGGCAAGCAGGATGGCATTGTTTTGCGGAAACTACGACGCTGTTGGGAACGTTCAAGACATTAGTTAGTCATGGGGATGCCTTCAGCGCCGGAAAAAGTGTATAATTTGCGTTATCTGTGGTGAGTTCGGGTCCACCCAGCCCGGTGTCAGCCCGGCCCCTTTCTCCACCCTATATAAGACGGAGGATTGGCTAACCGATGTCTTAGAATTGTTTTCCTCCAACCTCTTCCTCCACCCATCGACTTTGCCCACTTTTCTGCATCTACCCCAGCTCTCAGCGCTATCTCATCGCGCATCTCAACGAATTCTACAACTATCAACATGAGTGCTTTATCTGGATCGCGTATCGCGCTTTACTCCTTGCTAGTGAGTAGTTCGTTACCTTTCGAGGGTTTAGGTGGTTAACTTTCACGTTTCAGTGGATATGCGCTGCTATTTTACTGGGGTTGACTGCATCACGCATTCACTTCACGAGAGGATTCGGCTTTTATGGTGCGATTTCCTCATTTGTAGTTCTGACCCACATCGCTCATCGCAGTGTAGATCCCATTATAGTCGAACTTCTAGTTACGGCTTGCCTTTTCGTTATATGGGCCCCCATTGCGTGAGTGCAACTTAACACGGTCAGCATCTTGATGACTATGAGGCTGACATCATCCAGGATCTGCTTGCTGCTCCTCGGAGCAAAAACCCTCGCCAACATCGCGGACATGATCGCTCTTTTCGTCCTTTGGGTGATGACTCTCGTTGGCGCCGCCATTGCTTCTGTAAGCCCCTTTTACCTCCTCCTTGCACTCATGTCTCATTGCGACCTCAGCATTTTTGGCACGGTCTCGGATTCTGTTGGCGTTTCCGCGCATGCAAAGTACTTTCGGCCGTCGTTTCGTTCGCTTGGATCACTTGGGCGGTCGCAACCATCTTGTTAATCCTGGCGATGGCATCAATGGGGTCGAAGGATGACACCCCAGGATATACTAGGCGCGGCGGACGAGGAAGGAACCAAGAAACTAGGGCGGCTGGCGACCAACATGTCACCACGGGTGCTGCTCCTCCCGCCACCTCCACCGTTTGATTAATCCTCTCCTTCATCGAGAAGGCAATTTCCTCGTCGAAGTCGCTTCAGAGACATTCAAAATATACGCGTAGTTAGGATTTTGTACTTGTATCGTTTCGTGTCGTTCGTCTCATTATGCATCATTATAGTTCTTAGTTTTTCTGTAATTTAGATATTCCCAAATAAACACGACTCCTCAGTCGTTCGTTCTCAATGCGACCGTCTCCATTCCGAGTTCTGGATCTCGGCTTGTGACCGGAAGAGGAAAGCATCAGCCACGGTCCTTATAAACTCCGATATGTCCACGACTGGTCTTGACCGTCATGCTCGCCTACCGTATTCCTCGCCATGGCCAGGCTAAGGACCATCGACCATCCAGAGAGAAAAGGAGAATCACAATAGGAGAAAACATTGGACCACAGCTTCCTCTCGAGCTCTACCATCACATCATCGGCTTCATCGCCCACGAAGAGATCCGAACCCTCAGATCATTGGCACTCGTATCCAGATCTCTGCAACCAGAAGCGGAATCCCATCTCTATCACACATTGCGCTTCAGTAATCGAAAACTCCCAGATGCGCTCTTACGCGCCCTCATTTCGTCATCGCGTCGAGCATCCTATGTTCGTCGTATCTGGATTCGGGTCTCCGTTTGCAATTCACTCCTCCTCCGCGATGCTCTACAGCATTTATTCAACCTCATTTCGCTCAGTTTGGAGGGGTATAGGCCGATTGATAAGATTTTGCTGTCGAGTTGTCATTTCCCGAGGTTGGAGGCCTTTGAGTGGGTGGGATTGGACGATGAAAGTGTTTATATGAAGTTTTTTGAGGCCCATCCTCAGCTTTTGGATGTTCACGTGGAGTGGCCTGGGGCCACTGTCGTTACTCCAAACATTTTACCGAATGTTCGGACGGTCAGTGGGAGTTGGAATAGCTTGCGGATGTTGTTGCCTGGTCGGAAAATCACAAAAGTCAAGGCGGATGCGGGCGAGGGGGTGGTAAGGCGGCCAACGGAGAAAGGTCCTTTCCCTTCGGTGCACACCTTCTTCTGTGTTGGTTCTATACCAATCCCGAAAGTTTTGGAACTCTTCCCGCACGTGGAGGTTCTGAAATTGCAGACTATATGCGTAAGTCCCCGAGATGCAAGTTCGTCTTCCTGCTCGTGACTCAAGTTATTTTGGGGATAGATTACGGCAGATATAGTACCTCAGCTATGTCAGGCTCAGTTCTTGACCGATCTCACGTTGGGTGGTCAACTAGGCAAGAGGGTTTATCAGATCGATCGAATTGATCTTGCGGAACGCTTATTCGATTCGTGCGCGAGGTTGAAATCTGTTGGTATTAGAGATCCCGTGGAGGGCGCTTTCCTTTTCACCAGGTTTCGCATGGAGGTACCGATTTCTTTTGAGGAATTTTGGGAGCCGTACGAGTAATTCGGAAAATATAGACAGATAGAATTCGTTTTCCTGTGCTATGCTGACTTGAAGAAACAACGGTGACCTACTTGAGTATACACTGGTGGTGTAAGTGGATAACATGCTGACAGCCTTGGCTTGTCCTAGCAGCTCAGTGACGGGGGTTCGAATCCCTCCCAGTGTGATTTTCGGTTACAAAATCGCGAACTTTTTGTATAGATAGTCTGGCGCACCTGGTATATATTGTATATTGTCAGAGCTTACCACAGTCGGGGACGCTTGGTTTATGCCGGGAAAATGAGAGAGAAAAGTTCTGGTTGACTTGATAGTTAGTTTCCCGAGGTCTTTGGTGTTTGAATTTGTAAAATATTCTATCCGCGATATCGATTCATATTATTATGCACCCTCGGCCGTGGCTTCAGCAAGAGCATAAAGCTCGCTATATGCCCCGCTCTTCAAACACATTTGTCGGAATATTCCACCTTCCTTGCGAATAAGATTCCAAGGGGTATCCAGCTCCGCCACCTGTTCCATCCTCAGACTCATGGAAATGATGAAATCTTAAAGGGCGTACCTGTCCTTTGTCCAGCACGATCAACCGGTCGTAGTCGATTACCGTGCGGATTCTATGCGCCACTAAACACAGAACGATATTCCAGGAGGTCCTATAGTTGCATTGACGTGAAGACGTACCAGTCAATAGAAGTGAATCTGTAAATTCTTCCCGAATGGTTTGCTGGATTTTGGCATCCGTTTTGAAATCGATACTGCTTGTAGCCTCATCTAGGATGATAATAGAACTACGTCTTAGCACGGCTCGGGCCATTGCAACGAGTTGCCGTTGTCCTTGAGAGAAGTTTGTACCACCAGCAGAGACCTGGCTGTCTAAAGTTATGACGACCTTGCTCTCTCTCTCCGTATGAGAAGAGGATGACGAAGTACTAGGGTGTTCTGCGACGGTTAAGGTGACGGAGGCGTTGTTTACCGATTGAGGTCGCGAAGGGATTGGTGTTTGTTCGTGTGAACCAGAAGCTGAAGTATTATCACCGATTATCTGGACACGACGTAAAACGTCAAGGCATTCAGCATCTGTGTGTTCATCTATCTTTCAAATCAGAGTCTGGTTAATGCAAAGAACTGGCGGAATACGGACTGAATGGGTCGATATTCTCTCGAAGAGTTCCTGAGAAGAGTGTGGCGTCCTGAAGCTATGTAAGTCGAGCCAAAGCGGACAAACTCTGAAGTCACCTGGGGGATGAAGGTCTGGAATAGATTAGATCAACCTTTGTATCTATGTTCAAGACTAGGGACCTACCAATCGAGAACGTAAGTCATAAAGTCCGATTGTTGAGATGTCGATTCCATCGATAATGATTCTCCCTTCCGTGGGGTCAACCTAATATAACTTTCAACGAGGAGGTAGCACCGGGGACCGGATAGCACCTACAAACCGGAGGAGGCTCATCGACAACGTAGACTTCCCACTACCTGCAGAAAAGTAGCATAACTTTCCTCGTCGTGACGATTTTACGGTGAAGGTGACCGACCTGTTCTCCCCAGCAACCCAACACGTTCTCCTGCACGGAGGGTAAATGACACATTTTGCAATACCGGAGGAAGGTCTGGTGCATATTTGACAACGAGGTTTTCTACGGATATGAGTGAATCATTTCGAGACGTGGATGGCCAGTAAGCAGGGACCTCGTGTCCAGCTATCCTTGTAGGAGGTTCTTGCGGAAGGTCCAGACTTCAATGTGGTGAGTTATGTATAAGATTCAACTAAAGGATAACTTACTACTCGACGACACGTTCAACAGAGCTTATGAGGGTTCAGCAATGTATGAATCGAACTGTAATGCCAAAATGACGTACTTGAGGTCGAGTTCAAAGTCTAAGTCAAGGTCGAATCAGTAAAGATAACTCCTGAACGTTACGAGATACGTACCAGTCCACCCACGACACGCCCAATACGCTATCGACCCAGAATCAGCTAGGAGCACGCAAAAAACAGAAGTCACGTACTGGAAGTCGTGAATGTCATGGCACTGGTTATACAGATACCTGCAAGACCCGCACCGTCATGTAAGGTCGCTATCGAAAGGATCATGGTAATTAATACAGCGGTTGCGCCCAGCACGTCGTAAGTCATTGATAGCCAGCGGTTGGCCATCCAATACATGTATAGCATCTGTTTGCAGGTCAGTGAAAGGGCGCCAAGGGAGTAGAAGTAGAAGGGAGCGGACCTGAGTTGTCTTGTCTATTTTCTTGTGAATTCCATCCAGGAATCTCTTTTCGGCTGCGAAGGCTCTAACAGTTACAATACCATCAAGTATCTCACCGAAATCGGAAAATATAGGTGATCTAAAGTTGGCTTCCATTCGGCGAAGGTCCCTTCCGGTCTTGAGATAGCTAACGGCTGAGAAGTAATAGACGAATCCGAGAACGGATGCTGGGATGAGGAAGATGGGGAAGAATACCCTAGAGAAACTAGCTGATCAGTAGATCGTATGGTATAGGGGTGATGCAACTACGTACGCAACGGTAAGGACAGAAGCGAAGAACGCCAGGAGAGACCCGACAACGGATTGGATTGACAAGTAGAGTTTTGAATCGACCGTTTCGAGATCCTAGTAGAACAAACTCAGTGGTTGGCAGAAATCAAAACAGGATGATATTACCTTTCCAAATCGGTTTAGGAGTCGACCTTGAGGTGTCGTGTCGTGGAACCTGAAGGGCGCTCGTACAACGGTTTCTAACAACCTCCTGTGATACAAGGTTAAACAGGGCAATGACGAACAGATTAGGACTTACTTGAAGATAATTCTAGATGCCCTCAACCCGGCTGTATATACAACCAGCGTCAAGAGTATCCCCGCCAAAGCAGTTGCAAATCCAATCACGGCATAAACCACAACGAAGAACATGGGGTGTTCTTTCGCATTTGGTAAATCGTATGATGTGCCGAGGAAGCCTTCTGTCAAAGGCGAGACGACATGGTGCAACACACCATCGATTGTGCCTGTATTATTCGATATTGGAACCTGAAGAGGATTCTGGCTGGCAAGCATAAAGGATGAATGACCTTCTGATATCTCGCCTGCACCAGATACCGTTGAGGATAGGGATGAATGAAGAATCATTCCAAGTGGAGGGCCAGAACCATATGCTTCGCCCCATGTTTTAATCCATAACTTCTCTGCAAATCCGAGGATCTGAGTGGCTATGATGATTAAGAAGACAACCGCCCAAATCGAATACGAGCTATTTGAAGGTCAGAAACTTCACTACGCATATTGAGTACAAAGAAACGGACGTACCAAGCCCTCAAATACACGTCATAAACGTGCCACTTTACGCCTCCCGTCTCTCTATGTTCGTCTTCAACTAGCTTTCTCGGAGACTTCTTTGTCTCGTCTTCGACCGCAGCTTTGTCTGCAGGAGATTTCTCGGTTCCTCCTGCATCCGCGACTTTGACATCAGCCTCCGCTTCCGCGTCGTGCTTTATGTGCTCCAAGATTCCTTGAGCTGTGAGGTCGACGATGGTTCCTTGAGTATCGATTCGCCCGTTGAGCATACGGACAAGATAGTATGTTCCTGGTAAAACCAGTTCCAAATGGTGCGTAACCAGGACCTGAGGGTGTGATTAACAAGCGGTCCTCAGAATCAGTCCAGAGGTACACGTACAACAGTACGACTCTCGAATAATGGCCCACAGAAGAGTCTCTCAAAGAGAAATCGTGCTGTATGGCTATCCTAAATTCATATTCAACCACTTGGGAAACGACAAGTATCAAAAAGCATACCACGGCACTCAATGGATCGTCCAGGAGAACATATTTCGTCCGAGAATAAACGGCTCTAGCCAAAGCAACCCTATTACCAGACCATAAGCAAATTCAATGTCAATCAAAGGCGTCGACCACGTACCTTGCCTTCTGTCCACCACTCAAACTAACACCTCGCATCCCAATCTCCGTCTCATCACCATCTTCCAACGCCTCGAAATCCGGAATTAGCGCACAACATACCACAGTCTCTCGATACCGATCTTCGTCGTACGGACTTCCGAATAGAATATTCTCTTTGATAGTTTGGTGTTGTAACCAGGGAGTTTGAGCAGCGTAAGATATGGAATGGGTGTATCCGTTTTCATCGACTTTTGATAAGTTCTTCGGCAAGAGAATACAACCTGAAAGTGTCGTAAGTTCGCCGAGGAGAGCGGTCTACATATAGCCAAGAGAGAAGTCAGTGATTCTCGACAAGAGTTACAAATTGGGAGATGGGTCACACCAATAACGCAGTTTTTCCGCTGGCAGTAGGACCAGCAACCACCGTCAACTTTCCCTCTGGAAATACAACACTGATCCCCCTAAGTTCGAATTTTTCCTCGGCGTCCCCGCTGATTTTTCCAGCTTCAAGTTCACTTGTCCCCTCACGAACAAGTGTAGAAGCTGTAATAGTAGATTCCACGTCTAACCCATGAGCGCCTGTGTCTGTAGTTGTCGATTTTGTAACTGTGATCGTCATCGTAGTTGATGACGATCCGTGACCGTGTTGACTCTGTAGTAGTGGCAAGGTTTTGCCTTTACCATTCCCCTGGCTAACCTCAGTAGAAACAATGCCTTTTGTACCTGCGGTCTTGACTTCATCCCCGATCTCGTTCCACTTGAACGTTCCGTTAATTATTCCCAATCCACTATCCTCGTCCTGGTCCTGGTCACCGTGAGGATGGGAAAGGGAAGGATTCGGGAATGAGGCTTGTGCTTTGAGTGAAGATACTTGATCATCGACCTCCTCTTCTTCGAGGTAAACAGCGATCCGCTTAACTGCAACACCGATCTGCGATAAAACCTCGATCATAAATAACTCTTCATTCAAACGCGAGAAATTGAGTACATACCCGGGCGACCTGGAAGATCGCAATAGGAACTACGTTCAGCGGGCGCCTATACGTGGGTTAAGTCAGGAATTGAGTGAAAGCGTGTAAAAAATGCGCACTTGACCATTGTAAATAGCGCAATGGCCTAAAGTGAGGAGACATCGTGTCAGTAATATATACGGCAGAGATGGACGATCCTTACCGTGAAGGCCGTACCAACTGTCAATTCATTCCCCTGGTAGACATATACGAGAAAAGCGATAACCGAGACCGCAACCGGGGCTAACGACCAGAGGAGTTGGAAG